GGCGGGGCCCCGCCTCTTATCGGCTGGGCTCCGTCCCTGTCGGGCCCGCCCCCTCCGGCCAGGCCCCGCCCCTCCAAGCCCCGCCCCACCCTTCCCGCCCTGGGAGCGGGTCTGGCCCACCAAGATGGTTGAGTTCCAGTCGCCTGGGACTCTTGGTCGGGCTTGGGGGCCCAGGGCCTCGGGGTTCTGGGTTCTGTGCCTGCTTGTGCTGTGACCGAGCTTGTGCCTCACTTCCAGGCCTCAGTTCTTGCATCTGCAAGGCATGCAGGCGCAGAGGGTCACTGAGGGTACCGGTCCGGGCCCAGGGGCTGGGGGCGCTACTCACTGGCCTGGGTTAGGGTGTTCAGGGTAGGAGTTATCGTCGTGGACCAATGTCCCGACGCGTTGCACATGTCGCCCTCTCTGGAGGACTCCTGAGCGGGTGGCTTTTTTCCTCCACATTTCACAGAACAGATGATGTTGCCTGCAGAAGCCACATAGCTTGTTAAGGTTGCTTGCTGGAGAGCGGCAATCCCGCGTTGGAGTTCTGGGGAGGGTGGGGCTGGTGGGGGTTGGGCCCTATGGCTCTAGAGCATTGTGCTGTACTGGGGATATTCACAGCCCCCAGACAGGAGGTTGTTGAGAGTAGGGATTGAACCTCTGCTCTGGGGTAGACTGTGAGGATCCACAGGGAATCACCCAGTCCTGGCCCAGTGTGAGCACAGGTCCTGGGTGGGAGAGCACCCAGGTGCCTGAGGGGGGCACTGTGGCTTGCCCTCCTCTTTCCTGGTGCCTTCCTGGTGGGCCCCACGAGGAGAGTCCAAGGAATATGATTCCTGGCCTTTGCGGAGCACCCGTGTGAAGGCTTGGGGATGGACGGAAGCCCCTGCTAACTCCCTAAGCACCTGCTGTGCACCAGGAGTTTTCCTGGGACACGCTATCAGATGGGGCAGATGGAGTTTTTAAACGTTCACGGGAGTTTAAAGGTTGTGAAGGAGCCCAGCACGTCTGAGCGTGCAGGGGCAGTGCTGCTGCTGTGAGGGGTCCGCTCGCTCTCTGCTGAGCCGGGGAGCCCTGGGGCTCAAGCAGCAGCTTTGTCTGAGAGGGGTCCGTCCTGGCTGCAGGCAGGGGGCGGGCTCGGCCCGGACCAGGAGCCTGGCAGTGGGGACAGCAGAGCAGTGTGGTGCAGGGTCCTCACTGTGCTGTCCCGCCTGGTCTGTTTGGTTTTAAATAAACTCTCGTAGAATGGAAAACTCAGTCCGTCTGTGGTACTGGCCCCATTTAAGGTGCTCAGTAGCCCTGCGTGGCCAGTGCCCCTGTGTTGGGTAGCCCCATCTCTGCATCATGTTCCCCCACACAGCCCCTGTTGGCACTTCCTGATGCCCCTGAACTTTACAAGTTCAGAGTAAAGTTGGAGAAGAACCGTGGGGTTTGGGCCTGTTCGCTGTGACGGGGTGTCTGCCTGGGGTCTGGGGTGGGAGGGTCGCATGGGCGCCCTCTGTCCTCTGTTTGACTCTGATTTCTTGAGTTTCTGACAAGTGCTCAAGCACGTCAGCCCGTACCAGGGTGTGTTTGTTCAGTGTTTGGAGCACGTCCTTGGAAAAAGATACCCCAGTTCTTCTTGTTTCCGAACCCTAATGAATGGAAGCTGGAGTGGGCTTATCTCTTGTAGCCCTGAGGTGTGAAGCTTGGAAGGTGAGTTTTTGTCCTGCTGTTGAGAAGCATGTTTCTGTGTTTCAGGTATCGAGAACCTTCCCTGTGAGCTTCAGAGGAACTTCCAGCTGATGCGAGAGCTGGACCAGAGGACGGAAGGTGGGTGCCGGCCTGTCAGTGCAGCCAGGATGGGGAGAGCCGCTCCCCGAGGCAGGACCCCGGGGGTGGTGCTGAGCTTCCCGGGACCTGGGGCAGAGGGGCTGCAGGCGTGGGGTGGTGTCTCAGAGAGAGTGCCGGGTCTGTGCAGTCAACCTCAGTCTCTGGTGCTCCTGCGTTTCATCTCTATAACCCTCATCCCCTCCTTGCAATTAAAGTGTTTGTTACCTTCTCTTTCCTTTAAAAGATTTTCTCTTTTCACACTCTGTGTATATAGTTTACACAGTGCTTTTGGATCTTTTGGTATTTAACTCCTTATTTCTAAGCAGCTCATTTTTGCTGCATTTGTTACTTTATTTCCTTTTGGTTTGAGACTTTAGCTTTTCAGTTATTACAGAAAGTGAAGATTCACGTCTCTGGTTGTGCCAGCCAGCTCATGCGCACACAGCTCCTTCCCGCCATCTCCTGAGCGCGGTGGACTTGAATTCACATTGTATTGATGCCGATGTCTGTCAGGGCCACTGTGTTGGTAGTTGACCATATGCTATGCTCATGTGCCCTGTTTGGACTGACTTTTCCTTGGAGTTCTTAACTGCTTTACTGGTTGGTTTCGTTTTCCTTGTTTTCCCTGTGCGCTGCACCAGGTTGTGGCCAGTCCTCTGTGTGCTCTCCAGGGAGACTCCTGGAGCTCGGCTGCTGGTCTGCTGCGCACGCCTTGCCCCAGGCCTTCCTCTCCCTTTGCTGCTCTTCCTGTGGAGCCCTGTTTGCTAGCTTTGTTAAGCATGCCACATCTTGATTCGCCCCTTTGTTTTAGGGGAGCCTTTTCTCTGGGAGCTTCTGGGAAAAGGATAGAGAGGAGGGTAAATTTGTTGCAATGTTGCATGTCTGAAAATGCAGCAGTGAATAGTTGGCTGGGTATAGAATTTCAGATTGACAGGCATTTCCCCCAGAGTGTGACAAGTGTTGTTGCATTGTCTCCCAGCTTCTGCGTTGCTACTGGGAAGATCAGTGTCATTTGGATTCCTGATCCTTTGAAAATGTGATTGTTATTTCCGCTTTCCTATTTAGAAGCTTTTAAGCTTTTCTCTATATCTGTGAGGTTTTACATTTGACGATGATATGCTTGGGCATGGACACTTTTTTCACACATCGTGTTGGGCATATATCTTGTGAGATTGAATTAGCTGTGCTTTTTGACTGAGATACAGCTTTCTGACTAATGAATGCAGAGACTTCTTTTATTGTGAGATACAGCACATACGTTCATAAATAAGCATTCAGTTCAGTTCAGTCACTCAGTCGTGTCTGACTCTTTGCGAACCCATGACTGCAACATGCCAGGCTTCCCTGTCCATCACCAACTCCTAGAGTCCACCCAAACTCATGTCCACTGAGTCAGTGATGCCATCCAACCATCTCATCCTCTGTCCTCCCCTTCTCCTCCTGCCCTCAGTCTTTCCCAGCATCAGGATCTTTGCAGATGAATCAGCTCTTTGCATCAGGTGGCCACAGTATTGGAGTTTCAGCTTCAACATCAGTCCTTCTGATGAACACCCAGAATTGATCTTTAGGATGGACTGGTTGGATCTCCTTGCAGTCCAAGGGACTCTAAAGAGCCTTCTCCAATACCACAGTTCAAAAGCATCAATTCTTCGGCGCTCAGCTTTTTTTATACTCCAACTCTCACATCTGTACATGACTACTGGGAAAACCATAGCCTTGACTAGATGGACCTTTGTTGGCAAAGTAATGTCTCTGTTTTTTAATATGCTGTCTAGGTTGGTCATAACTTTCCTTCCAAGGAGCAAGCATCTTTTAATTTCATGGCTGCAGTCACCATCTG